ATATATATGTATAAACATATATGTAATTAACATAGAATTAATCATTATATCTATATTTTTTTAATAATGTATTCTCAAACTATAAGATAGCAATTTTTCATAATATGGGGTTGAAGGAAATAGTATGTATAAAAGTAGCGCCATCTAATAACTATACAGGACTGCAGTTCTATTTTTCTATAAATTTATTTATATATAATATATTAATATCTATGTATTTTATATTTTTAATTAAATATATTTAAGAATTATATAAATCAAAGATATAATAAAAAACAGGATACCAAAATATATTATTTAATATATATATTTTAGGAGATGTTCTTATTATCTATTAGAAGAAATTTTCTTAATTATATTCATTTCTGTAAATCTATGTACAATACATCATACAGTAGTATTTATACAAGACTCGAATACCAAGAGGCGTGGTTTGAATAGATGAACCTGTTCATCTATCTACTTATTTTGTCCCCTTCTGCTAGATATAGAATAATCGTCCTTATACATTTGTAGACAGGCGCACTCTGGTGTCGAAGCCATGGACGATGCTACGCGCCATTTTGTTTAGTGTCCGCTGGACGCGTCGTGCGTCAGGGTGTTGTGGGGTTGTTTTCATGACCGTCAACGGGAATAAATTCGCGGCTCTCTGAGCTCGCTTGCACTTTAAAACGTATATAATAGTGATATTATTTAAACAGTGAAATATATATATGTATATTTTTGCATGATTGTTGTGACATACAATACAAAGATACATTTCTTGAGAGAGTTGAAAACTCTCATGCTTATAGTGTTAGATTCAGATTTGCAAAAACTTTGCAAATGCATGGCGCCAGATACAACTTTATGGATACTTCGTAAGAAATTACGACTGTCGCCGTCATCGTCGACAGATATTTTTTATAAAGGTGAGAGAAGAGGGGTTGTCTGAATTTAATCGATAAAGTGTCTCCCATACTCTTCCTCTTCCCCGTTTCCAAATACAAAACTTTTTATTTTATCTTTATTCGAATATTCGATGCTTCATGCTTCGACGAGTTTTTCGTACCAAATGTCGTGCGTCCTAACCACGATAGTGTCTCGCTTGTGCAAGTCGCTCGAGGAAAGTGAAAGCTTACGTTCCCAATCGTTCTGCATTGAACACGGATCTCATTCTGTCCGCAGTGGTGCACGTTTTGTGCGTCTTTTTCAAAGATTATAGCGTCACTTAGCTCAAACTGTCGATATTTTGAAACGTAGTTTTATTAAATTAAAAAAAGAAAAGATGTCTATAAAAAATAAATAATTAAAACTGAAACAAGTTTTTTAAATTAATTCATACATATTGAAATAGAAAAATTTTTATTGTCCATATTAAATATTAAATGAAATTCAAAATAATAATAATAAAACGAAATTCCAAATTTTTCAAAACCAGTAAAATAATAAAATTGAGTACTGGTATGCAGAATAAAAAATATTTAATTTATATAAAAAATTTTATATTTAGAAAATATAATTTAAAAAAAAACTTTTTTCCTCAATAATATGCAATTTTTATATTTATGAATTAGATGTAAAATATAATATTAAATAAGTATATTTTTAACACAAAATACATAAGAAATTAGTATTTTGTCATTGAATTATTCTGATATATTTTTGTTAATATATTATACTACAGAATATATATTATACTACATTAAATAAATACTTTATATTTTGAATTTCATTTCATATTTATTAAAAAAAATAGTACAGTTAATTTTTTTAATATATTAAAATATACTTTATTTAAATTTATATTAAGATAATATATATACCGATTCTATCACTGATTCTATGTAGCATCGCGATCACTCAATTTATCGGGTGATTTCAATGCTAGGATGTGTAGCAAAACTTGCATGTTATTCTAATGAATATTTAACATGTATATATACACATAATAAATACATTAATTTTTTTTTTACAAATATTTACAATTTTTTGATAAAAATGATGCAAATACAATAAATATAATAAATTTAAACTATCAGATTAATTTGAAATCTATTAATAAATTATTAGATTTAATTATTAAATCAAAAAATCTTTTGCATTAGATTATACAAGAATTATTAATTTTTTATTTTATTATTCAGTTTAAGAAAAGTTTAATTATTCCTAGAAAAGTTTATATATTTCCTATAATAAATTAAATTTCTTCGTTGAAATTCATATTGTTATTATTTCATTTATATTTTTATTGTCTATTTTATTATACAGATTACATTTCGTATCTTTCAGAGAAGACAGCGAAACTGAAATTTCTTCTATCATTTAACTCTCATTGCATCTCTCCCCAAGGGAGATTTTGTCCAAATAGGAACAAAAGTATAAAAAGTATAAAAATATAAATAAGTCAACAAAATATACGAATAATGAAAGTATTATCATATATATTGTTGTTTACTTTAATGTAATATTACATTCATTCATTATGTTCTATGAAATAAACAATTTCTTAAATTTTTCTAAGTTATTTTTAATTAGTTTAATATCAAATTTTTTTCTTTTGTTTCATAATCTCTATTTTAAAAAGTATTTTTAGATTATTCTATAAATTTTTTGATGATTTAAAATCTTTTGATCTCTTCAATGTAATAGAATCATGCATCTATGTATAACAAAAATATAAAAAATTGAAATTAATGTAATATTCTCTTAATTTTATTAAATTTGTCGCACTTATTCTTAATATCATAATTAAATTTACTTTCTAATATATAAAAATTACTTTCTATTATAATAAATATTAATCTTATATTAAATATTTATATCATGTTTTCTTATACAATATATATAAAGATTACGATATTCTGGTCAGCTAAGCGATAAATATTGAAGGATAAATATTGAATACTCTAGATATTATAATTTTTCCTAACTTTGATCACGAGTTTGTTCAAGAAAAAAAAAGGGTGCAACACATTTATTTTTTCAGAATATTGATCTGTTATGATTCTAATAAAATTTTAAACAGTTCTTTTATATTATTATTTTATATATTATAACTTTATATGTTATAACTTTAAAATGCAAAAGTCTCTAGAAATTCTTCGTATAATAAAAAAAAAAAGATATATATATTCAAGCATACAGATATTACATATTAATGTAAATACTTAAAATAGTTATAGTTATTCATATTAGTTAGAAAAATACGATGTTATATGATTTTATATTCATATTATCTTCACATTTTGAAGATCTGAATTTCGGGGGTTGTATTAAATATGTAAACTTACCTAGACTTCAGCACAGGTGTTTAGGATTAATCCAAGGCACGCCT